ACACGCGGGAGAAATTGAGGCATCACCGAAGAAAAAATTTTTCCGATATCTTCAGCGACAGCCGAGATAGTATCGAAGAAAGAGTGTTGATTGGCAGCGAGACCGGAACCCACCAAATGGCATCGTCATTTTTGGACTCTCCGTATTTGGAAAGGTGTGGAGCCATCTAAATACAGTCGAACCCATGTAAGACGGCCACGCATTGTCATGGGTAAAAGTGGCCGTATACGACAGGTGGCCGTCTTAGGCAGGACTGATCAAAAGGAGGAAAACAAACCATTTACTTCTGAGGTCCCAACTGGAGGTGGGCGCAGGCTTAGGACTGACAATTTGTTGTTGTTGTTGTTGTTTTATTTCTTTTGAAAGGGGAGAGATGATAGGACGGTTTTTGTGGGACTTTTTGTTGTTAGTTTTATTATTTTTTTCAAAATTATGGTTCCAGGAAAGGTGCAAACAAAATGAAATGTTTCAGATGAGGAAGGCCAAGTATCATAGCAAAACAAACAACAATTACAATTGGGTCGCTACCACTTAGCGAACGAACGACACTTCTGTTGTGAGTTTGTGTTGACTTCCATTGTTAATAAGTTATGGACTGGGTTTATGGACTGAGTTGTGGGCGGGCCTAAAAGGTTATGACGGATCACACGTTTCCTTACCAGCAGCTGAAAATTTATTGTTACCCATTGGTCAACTTTGGTAAACATTGGGCGTGACCTAAGCAACTTGATCGTTTCACCCATTGGACTAGCAATAACGACAGGTGAATGAATTATGACATCTTGTCAACAGCATCAGGGAAAAATTCATGTTTTTACAAAGCCTGGCCGTCTTAGGCAGGTAGATTTGGGCACGGCATGGGTTGGTAAAGTAAGGTGGCTGCGGCTGGGTTGGACAGGTGCCCTTTTTACACTGTTAAATTATATAGAAAAAACGCAAGCAGGAAAATGGAAAGTGGCCGTTTGTACACGCGGCCGTCTTATACTGGTGGCCATCATGGCAGGTTCAACTGTATTTACCCAAACGTCCCTGAATTTGGCAACCAATAAGAAAAAAAGATCTAAGAATACAAGTTCATCATCATTATCATCATCAGCCTTTCTCTCCCCATGCTGGAGTTTAGGCCACCAAAAAGAGCTCTCCATTTACTTCTGTCTTAGGCTATTATCTCTACATCTGTCCAGATGTATTCCATCTCCTTTAGTTTGGAATCTGAGTCACTCCTCCAAGTGTTTAATTTTAGGCTTTCCTTTCTTCAATACTCCTTCAGGGGCTCTGGCATCTCCCAAGACGTCTACATTTTCAGTTACTCTTGTTGGATTTTTTTACAAGACAGGGATGCTAAGCTTAACCCCCAACCTGGAGGTCCAGGTGGTTCACATCAGGAGCCACACCGTGGAGTCTTAAGTCACCTCCGACGAGACACAGGCTGAATTCCAGCCTCTTTCATTCTCAATGTCAATGCCAATTTTTAGAACCCAATTGATTGATTATGCGCTCCCTCCCCCTTCTCTCTCACACACACACACACACACCGTGTTCATTTTATTGCTTTAAATTTAAAGTCCAAGAAGAGCATAATTTTTACAAGCTACCAATCGGCCATATGTGGCTCTGTACACTGGCCATCTTTTAGATTTCAGGCTGGCCAGTCAATGGCCCAGCGTGTGTCAGATCAAAAGTCATTCCCATGCTCCTGCATCTCCTGCTCATTTTTGTCATTATACATGAATTGTACTTTTATTTCAATGTAGTTGAAACTGCATTGTTATTGTTTGATATAACCTGATTTTTAAAAAAAATTAAAATTTCGTAATAAACTGTACAATGTCGACAGATTTATAACTGGTGTCTGCAGTGTAGCAGTTACGCACTTTACTGTCACACGCAAGAGTATCGCGGTCTTTCTGCTGGGATGTTGTATCCCTCTCAGCCTGGATTAGCCTTAACAGGCAGGGTCAGGAAACAGCCTCATTAATGATCTAAATTGTGTTGATGCGGTCATAAAAAACATCTACATTAAAAAAAAAAACACAAACAAATAGAAAAATTATTTTTATAATTACTTTGCCTAGTGTATTTTCGATTAAACTAGATATTAGTATACAGGCAAAACGCAAAAGAGTGCAGTTTTTATGTTTGCACAACATGTTTTGTTAGTTTTGTACAGCAGGTTCTTTGGCAGATTTCAAGGTGTGGGTGGTTGACGGGTGCTCTGGTGTGGTTTGCTTCTTCTTTCTTATCAAACATCTTAGATCGTCTAATCTCCCCTCCTTCTTTTTTGTTTGTTACTCTCTTGTAATACCTCTACTCTTCGGCACTTATATGACCTTTTGTGTTGCAAGTGCAGTAAAACACTTACTTACTAATTCTTTTTTAAAAGATTTCAAGGTGCACAAGTAGCTCATGTGGTGATGTCTACCTTGTTTTGACTGACATAGTATAGAAAAATGTTGCTTTTTGGGGACTTTACATTTTTCCAAACGGCCATATTTTCATCATTTTAATTGTTCACAGTTTAGTTGACTTTGATATATTGTTGTTTTGGTAAATATTGTTTTGGATGGAATACTTTTGTTTATATTTGTTTTGACACTAAATATTTCTCCATTCATACTTATAAGTGAAGTTGTTTGCCTGGGTGTCTAAAAATTGCAAACAATAGAATAATAAAATTAATTCCTTTCATCATTATTTTTATTGTCATAGTAATGGTGACTGTATGTCTGTTTACAGTGACAGCAATCTTTATTGCTAGGCCTTTATAATTTGTTGAAAGTTGAAGGGTTAGAGTTAGATTGCACATTGAGGTCAGAGCATATCAAGGAAGTCAAAATCAGAAGGGAGGAAAACAGTACTTGAGAAATATATGTATATACTTCCAGGGAAGGGTGTGGCTCGTCAGTGAGAAAAGTGGTTGTCTGAAATAAGTGGATTTCTTGCAGTGTCATTATAAAGAAAAAAATGCAAAGGGCGAAGTGGGAAGTCATTTGTACAGCTGATGATCTTGGACAAATGGCCGTTACAGCAGGATCAACTGTATATACACTGCAATGGCATTGTGGTTTGATTTGAATTACAAATAGAAAGGATGGTTATCATTCTTTTCTCAAGCATGGTTCTGCTTTTAGTTTATATAGACCTTTATGTCACTTCTGTTCACTGTAATTGCATGCATCTTTGGACGATGTGGTTTCCATAATGTTGCTGTCAAAGTTTTTCCCTTCAGTCACATTGCGGGCAACTTTAAATGGAACAGTTACAGGAAAATATTATCCCGGTAGTTCTACACTTCCCAACATACTCTAACAGTATGTGCATTTTCCCTGGTTCATTTGCATTTTTCAGCATTCTTTTTTCAGAGGTTTAATTTTTGTTTTCTCCGCTGCTTAATGTCATGCACTTTCATTTTATCTGATCAGAATTTCTGTTCAAGGAATTATTTTTTCGTGTTCAAGTTTGTCATGCTCCACTGAATTCCTACTTATATTTGATCAATGCTGTGTGTGTTCCTTGGCATGTGAATGGCAGTGGTATGATGATAATTAAAAATAGACATCAAATTGGATGAAATTCAGGGGTGGGGGTGTAGGGTTTTTTTGTTGGCATGTTGAGACTTGGTGATGCTAATCTACCCATTTAAGAATGTGACTTTTTTTTTAAAGCAGAAGGTGGGTAAATGTATATCTAAGTTTCTGCATTGCTTATATTAACATAATATTGCCTGGGTGGCCAACATTTAATTGTATATTTGTATTTTAAAAATTGTTTCAGATGTAAGAGAAGTTTCTCAAAATACTCAACTACTGATTTATTGTGAGTATTGTGAAAGAGTTTAAACAAAGAGCAAGGAATGAAGTGAGAGCTGAAAAGAAATGATGGCAAAACAAATGAGTGACACAAAGAAGGAGTTTGTCCAGAAGTACATGCTGGATGAGTACTCCCGTGCCATCCCTACAAAGGCACTTGCTGGAACTGGCAGAGGGGTAAGTTGTAGGCTTATATAATACTGGGTGATTAAAAAAGAATTAAAGTGATTTTAGGACGCATTGCTTCAGTCTTTAAGCATGGTTTTATAGAAAGAGTCGGTGACCATTTGAAAAGATTCGAATAGCTGTTCCCCAAGGATGGAGTGGTCAGAAAAGGGCTTTTAAAGACCTTACTCTGTTTGCTTGGCCTGCAAGATCTCCAGACCTCACTGTGTGATTTTTTTCTTATGGGGATATACGTAAAAGATGGTGTTTGTGTTACACCACTATCACTAACCTTGATGACCTTATACATCAAATAACAACAGTGATCAACTCAGTGGACATTGATATGATGAAACGTGTTTGTGACGATTTCTCTTATCTCATTGATGTTTCCCGTGCTGCTGGTGGTGGCCACATTGAACATTTGTAAGACAGGATATTAAAGTTGATTGTGTATTCCATACCTGTGACAAAGCTTTAGGTTTCTATTCCTTTTCCTTATTAAAATATAGCATAATGAAATCGCTGTGAACATTCTTTTTGATTCACCCTGTACACACTCTCTCTCTCTCTCTCTCTCTCTCTCTCTCTCTCTCTCTCTCTCTTTGTGTGTGTGAGCCTATTTCTCTCTTTCTCTTTCTCTCTCTCTCTCTCTCTCTCTCTCTCTCTCTCTCTCTCTCTCTCTCTCTCCCCCTTTCTCTCTCTCATACTCACTTTTTTTCTCTCTCTCTCTCTCTTGCTCTCTCCCAGCCTCATCCTCCTCTTCATCCTTCACCCCTCCACCGTTGAGCTCAAAAGTGATAGACAAAAGTTCTTTTAGCCACAGTGCAGTTACTGTTACATAAAGGGTCATGTTTTACCTTCTGATGGCTTTCAAGTTTTTTTTAACCTATTGGTCTTTGGCAAGTGTCTTGACAATCATAATATCAAATTAGGTTTCTGTATCTTTATTTCAGTTGCTCTGTTTCTCCCTCTTTTTGACCTTGCTTGTCGACTTGTATAAGAAGGGGAAAGTGTTCAAACAGTGAATGGATTTCTTACATCATTTATGATATCAAAAATGAAAATTTAATGTGTCGATCATATTCTTACTCAGTGAATGCACTGACAATATTTCAATTAGGTTTTGATTTCTTGGACAAACAAATCCACAAATTCTCTTTGCTCACTCAAGTCAAGTAAGAAAATGTCGTATCATGATTTCCACTCGAACCTAATGATTCTCTAGATCAGATTTGCAGGAGAAGTTTTTCAGTTAAAAAATTGTTTTCTCACTTTCATATTCTCAAAGTTGAACACAATTTGAAGACACTATATTTACATGCAATACTCTATTTGTATTTAAATGAGGATCTTAATTTTTTTTTTCTTGTGATTATCGTTTGATGGGATGGGAACATGTGGGTTGGAGCTTTAGTACTCTGTGCTTGGTAACGTCACGAGGGGAGTTGTGCCAATATAGTTTTTATAGCTTCGACCTCTTAATCCCCCTGATGATGGTGACAAGTGATTGATGACCCTGTCCAGGCCACCTAGCCTGTGTCCTTTCACTCCTAAGGACACCGATTTCCTCCTCCTGTGAGGTGGCCCTCCCTATTACATAGTTGATTGATTTGTGTACAGGATGCTTCAAGGGCTTTGAACTTTGAAGGCCCCTGGTTTAGGAATGAGGATCAGTTATGTGGAGGAATTCTGTAGAGATGTGCAGTAGGTCTAGTCTATGTTCAAATGTGTAATTGTTAAATTTGAAGTGGTTATTTGTAGTCTTTATTATTTTTCACTGGTGGAAGGCAAGATAGAATTTCACAATAGTGTCCTTGGCCAACCAGTTTCATTTAGTGTTCCATTTCACCATCTGTCTGGTTAGATACTCACTGTGTGAAATTTCTTGCTTGTTGGTTAGTTACATTGGAGAAATTGGGGGGTTGGTCAGTGAATCCTTTTGCTTCATTAGACATGTTTGCGTGTGTAGGTGGGCAATGCAGTTGCTTTTGTATTTATTTCTTAATATGTATACTATGGGATGCTTTGTGTGAGCAGTGTGTAGTCATATTGGCATGTGAGAAAGAGAAAAGGGAAGATGAAAAATTAGAACAACTACAATTTTAGTATCTTTCTTATTTTTGTGAGTGTAGTATAGATAGTACAAATGAAATTGTCCAAAACGGCCATTCACTGTTTAGGAGAAATGGGATTGTCTTAAGATAGATGGATGTCATGGATAGTGTCATTGTTATATATTTTTTCTTAATGCAAGTGGGAAATATGAAGTGGTGTTTTTACAGCTGACTGCCTTGAATAAGTGATAGAGCAGGTTGGACTAAGTTAGACTTGGACTGCATATTCGCATTTTTAGAATAACGTCAACAGCTTCCACTTGTGATGCATTAGAAAGACTCTTGGAATAATATAGCACTGCTGAAATGTTGAAAGTTCCAGAGTTCTCATGGTATTCTTGCTGTTCATGCAATACTGTTGCATGGATGGCTAGGTCACCATCGCCTCTTGAAAGGTGGGAGAAAGCCAAAAGACCTCATTTACTGAGACTGGAAGAAGTAAAAATGGTCGACCTGTACCACAATACAAAGACATCTGCAAAATCGACAAGAAATCAGTATGGCACAAGATTTTCGCCAGTGGAAGACGGGAGTAGAGACCAGTTTCAAGATGAAACAGAAAGACATAGCAGTGAAGGCATATACAGTCAAAACTTACTCTAATGGTAACATGTCCGAAACAATCCTCTGTATAAAAGTATAAATGACCATTTCTCACTTCTCTCTTTTCATTTTTTTTTTACACTACATGAATATATATAATGCCAAAGTCCAATATATCCACCAATCTAAGACACCTAATGGTTAGCGAGTTCAGGCTTACAATAAATGTTGAGCATACGTCAGTGACACGACATTTAGGTGGGTGGTTATTGCAGTGTGTCCTTGAGCAAGACACCATTACCCTATCTTAAAAATCAGGGCTTTGCGTGATGGCGACCAGCCATGGCACATTTGTAGTCTATCAGTATGTATGCATATATATATATGTAATTATGTACCATATTTATGTTTGTATAATATGTGTTACGCATATTTGTAAACCAAATTGCCCCTCGGGGATCATAAAAGTGGAATTTAACGGCTGTGTAGGAGGTTGATGCCATCATTGTCTATTTCAGGCTTCGTTAGGAGAGTATTGTGAGCCCATAGATAGTAAAAATCTCTACAAAAAGAAACCTGGAGAAGACGACATCAATTCTGACAGCGACAATGGATATGCAGACCCTCAAGGTTGGTTTACATCTTATAAGTGATTTTAATCTATACCAAAGATAGTACATAACAAGATGGGCCACTCAGCCAAAAAAATGTCCGTTGGAAGTTCGCTCTTGGCTTCAGATGGCACTGCAGTCTGTTTTGAAGCTCTCTTTCGTTTTTCCAGAAGAAGAATAGGAATAGCACCTCCTTGCGTGCACAGATCGACTGCTGTTCATCAGCAGTTCGTGTTCGTTCAGTGTGGAGTTCCGTTTTTTTATATTTTAATGACCTCTAGCCTTTCATTCTAAAGTCAAATTAAACGAAGAAAACAATCACCCTTTCCTCCGGAAGAGTTTTTTTTTGTCAGCGTAACCATTTTAAAAAAGCGTTCTTCCGAAATTTATTCAAAAACTTGCTAGTTTCACTTTGATTTTTTAAACTCAAGTAGGGTAACTGTTCGCAAAAGGTGCGCTTTTGCGAAGATTGCGCCACCGAATTTTGTGGACACTTTTTTAATTGGCTCAAAGAGAGAAGTGGCCCCTCTTGTTATGTAGACTCTTTGTCTATACTGAATACAATGTTTTACAGTTTGTCAGTTGTAAGAGGACTGCTTTTTTGTCCAAAAGTTTTGATGTCATTAGTAAGGATAACCTCTAAAAGTTACTCATTGTTTATAGAAATAGAAAATGTGTATGAATATGTTGGGGTTTTTTTTACATATTGTATGTGTGTATTTAAGTTTTATTATATTAATTTTAGATTAGTATCATTTCAATTGATTGAGTTCTTTATGCGCTGTTTACTTTGCTGCAGAATTATATTAGAATCACAGAATTAAACTCTGATAAAAAGAAAAGGGTTTGCTATTTTTTGTGATGTTTTTTTTTTGGTGAAGTCAAGGCTGGTGGCTGGTACATTGAAGATCAAGAGAGCACCTATTTCTTTTTTCTATTTCAGAATGTTACATTTCCTCAACTGTTTGTATAGAGGAAAGAATGGGAACTGAGATAGTAAACTGTGATTGGTTTCACTTAAATCATAGTGTGAAGTGTGAAAGTGTTGGTAAATTACCCAGTTGGTTGTGTGCCTTTTCATAGCATTATGCATGTCAGTATATGTTGACTGAATTACTGTTATGTTTTATGAGATCCCTTGGCTTAGCACATTTCTTTATAGTTTATACATTTTTAGCCGTGAGATCTCATGAAACAACAGATTAATGCTTACCATTAGCAATCTTTGCTTAGACTGTACAAAATAGTTAATATTCTTGTGCCCATTTCCCCATTTTTAGTCTTTGACTTTTATTTGTTTCTGATAGATGCAGTAAATGTAAAAAAGCCACTTAGTAGAAATCCAAGCAAAGAGGAAGAAGGGGATGTGTACGAGCTGGCTCAGCAAGCTGTCAGTGATTACGACGTTCCACCACCTGTCACAAAGTCCCAGGGTAGGCAGAGAAGTTCGTCTCCCAGAAAGCCTTCGCCCAAGCCACGGGGTAGCCAGGTCAGAAGAGTGAGTCAAGACGTTACTCCCCCTTCACTTCAAAATGACCATGGGAAAAACGGCCCTCCAAAGAATACTCGTAACAGTTCTCCCAATGTTCTTCAGGGTCCAGAGGTTCCTGTCCAATCAGAGTTTCATGACCTTGAGATTCAGCCGGAAAGACGAAGACCTGGGAAAAAGGTCGTTGAGATAGAGTATGAGGTTGCCTCCGCCATACGTCCTGGCAAAGCAGAACTTTCAGCGTCAAGAGTGGCAGCTTCGCCAAAGACTAAAAATCCTCTCAGCAAATCAAATTCCTCGGCAGATTCAAGTGTTTCTGTCTCCTCGTCTCTCCATCATTCAGCTTCTGCTGGCTCAAGGCACCCTGGACACTCATCTTCACCAGCACACCGCAAACCTCACCACCCAGGTCGGCCAGACATGCAGTTCAGTATGAGTCAGCCTGCTCCTCAACCTCCAAAGGGCGCCGCTGAAGGTGTGTATGAAGAACCATGGGACCTAAAGGTGAAAAGACTTAAACAGGAACAAGAGGAAAAAATGTCGAAAAAATTGTTGAAGCAAGCCGCTGTTGAGCAGAAGCTTGTGAACCAACCAGACACCTCTATTCCTGTTTACGAGCAGGCATGGGATAGTGCAGCTCAGCAGAGAAAGCTGGAGGAGAGACTGAATTTTGCAAGGAGTTTGTCCACATCTTCACAGACCTCAGAAACAGACATCTTCCATGACGCACTGGAAGCTGTACCTGCTCAAAAGGTGAGTTATCAGGCTCCTTGATTACAATAGTTTTTATTATTTTTACTGTTATTTGGATTCTGTAGACATGGTGGTTGGAGGATGCAACTAGTAGGTCCTACTTCTTCACTTTTTCTGTCTTGTTTCTGTCTGTCTGTTTTGGCATTTTCCGTCACTACATGATCGTTATTGTGTTCATTTGCTCCTGCTTGCTCTAACTAAGCAGATCATACAGAGGATGTTTTTGTTTTTTTATAAGGACATTTGAGAATGAAAATGAGATTTGGAAAGTGATCACTTTTGTGTTTTGTTTTACAGTTGAAATACTGTGGTAGTCCTAATAAATATGTAGTAGGAAATGAAAAACATATTTTTACTAGAGTGCTGCAGAATTCTGAAATCTTCAAAACTAAGAAATTGTTTATGTACAAATGTGAAAGGTGCTGCTACACCACCTGTCATTTGTGACTTTCATTACTTAAAAGGTTCTCAATTCAGGTCCTTTGTCGTTCTTACTACGGGGTGAATTTTCAATATCACATGAAATAAGTAGGTTTTTGGATAATGCCACTGAATTTTATTTCCTACAGGCTGTCTATAGTTTTGAAAGTTGAATCTAAAGTTCACTTTTTAGAGTATAATCTTGCTGAAGAGGTTTCCACCCTCAGTCATGTGTAGCAAAGCAACTAAATGAGTCGCTTGTGGCACTTACCGGTTGCAAGATATCTGGCAAATACCATGTTTCTGACTCCCCAACTGCAAGTGACTATAACTGGAAATGAAGAAACTAGACTAAAACTGTCTTCACCCACGTATAAGGCTTAACATGTTTCATTGGATAAAGTATTGTGTTTAATCATCAAAATGCAACATGTTACTCATTTTGTTGCTTTGCTACACACATATATGTGTTTATTTATATCTCTAAAATATGTGCTGTCAAGTATTACTTTATAAGTTTGTTAGAGGGCCATTTGCTGTCAGGTAAATTACGTCTTATGTTTCAAGAATGTGAGGATGTGAAGCGTTATGTATTTTGTTTGGCAGCTTTTTTGTTTCTTCCTTTATGATTTTTTTCCAAATACTGGTTACGTCTTCCTAGCAAGGTCACATATTTATATTCAACAATGAATTAATAAGTTTTAGGTGATTTTTTACTTATGTATTTTAATTTCCATAATCATGAAGAATGAAACTAATCAATTCTGTTTGTTGTTTTAATAGATTTAGAGATCAAATAAGGTGAATATTGCACTGGTATCTTGAATTGTATTGTCTTGGTTTGTCATCCCTTTCTGTGTCTTGCAAGATATATAATACTAGCAGGGTACCCGTTTGATGAATGGACTCAAAAGGATCGATCGTTAAGTCAATGTGGAATCAGTGCACATTGCCTGTGAGCAGAAGCCTCACTAGTTTACAATGGCGTCTTAGAAAATGGACTTTCTCAAGATTAGATCTAAACGAAACTAATGAAAAACTGAAAATTTAGCTACAGTGACTTCAGGCTCCTTAATATAACTGTGCACCGTTTAAATGATTCTGAATTACAGTTAATTTTTTTCAAATTCGAAAGTTGAGTGGTTCGGAAGTTTTAGGCGATCAAAGTGACAAACTTTCACAAATATATATAGGTGGCTGCCTGTCATTGCATGATTTAATGGGTTTAGTGCTATTTTGTATTAACACTAATTTCCAACTTTTTGGAGTTTTTGTCACAGACGTTGTCAGGGCTGTCCAAAAAGTTTCCCTTTGAGCCCAAAATTACTTTAATTATGGAGTTGAGTGCTTTCAAAGTAATTACATCAAGACTAGAAAAGTTGAGTTAGTACAGAGTAGCACTAAGCTCACGATATGTGAGGCATCCTGGTGAAGTCAGACACTTGTCAAAATAATTAAATTGAAGAAACAGACATTTTTCCTCATGTAGGGCAATTTTTATTGATTGATTGATTATTTTTTTTATTTTTTGGGGGGGCTAAGCACTGCTCATTTAAAAAAGTGACGTATGATGGAGTTTTACACAGAGTAGTCGCTATGTGCAGGGTTAGAGCTATGTGTTTAGAAATTGATATAAAATCTTTAGTTTTAGGAATATATTATCCTGAAGACTTGGTGCTTACAGCTGTGTTCTCTGATGCAATCTTCCAGGGTGAACCAGGCACTGTACAGGGCCTACCCCCTACCACAGACTCTGCTGGAGTGTTGAAACCATTGCCCATGGACACTTACGAAGATGCATGGGACCTAAAGAACAGTGTTTTGGATCAGCAAATTAGGTTAGCATATTTAGTGTGTGTTAGATGTTGCTAGAAAAAAAAACTTTATTGCACTTCTCCATTATATTTTGAAAAGCACAAAGACTGAAGTAAGTGTGTGAGGAACAATTTAATTTTAATTGTTTGAAAATTGCCTTTCCAGCATTTTTTATTCCACATCGTTCCCAAAAAATGATCACCAGAAAGTGTTCGACATAGGCTGTTGGGCTCATAACTGAAATATCATGGGTTTGAACCGTGTGAGGGGCCTGATGCTGTGTTCTTGGAAAAGGTACTTTACATACATTTTCCCAGCTTCATTTAGGTGGGACTGGGTACCTGGCTATAGCCGGCAAAAGATCTTGTCAATTTCCTAGTGTTTTAGCATGTGTAATCCAAAGCTTGCGCTGAGTTGTATTCCATGGTCTGCTGTGGTAATAATAGTGTCAAGCGCATAGAACATGCTGTTAAGTGTGGATATGTGCTATATAAATATGATTAGTTTCATTATTATTATTTCTAAAAAATTGTTGTTATATTATTATAATGGGGTAGTGTCGATGTTGAAAAGTTTAAACTTAATTGCCTTGAGTACATTTTACCATGAGGCAGAGGTTGGTTTACAAAAGAGGTATCGTTGGATGAAGCTTACAAGGTTTGAAACATTCAAAAAATTCTGTCTCACATTTCCTTGGCCATCAGATATTCGTCTGCATTGCCTTTTTACTTCTTTTAGTTTGAAACAGTATAATCTGTGTGTTAATGGGGTTGGGGGGCAGTAAGTCCATAGATGAAGTGTTTGCCTCTGATGCCAAAGTGCCTTTTCCGATTCACAGTTCATGAAGTTACGGTTGATGGCTTTGTTATTTAAAAAATCTGGCTTGCTTTTGTGCCCTCTGTGCAAGCTGAAGGCACCCAGAAGGTATATCACCCTCTTCCCTAAGCATTAGTTCCTTTTGTTTAAAGTTTTGTTGCAGAAATTGTTGACAGGTCGTTGACTTGTGCGCAGTTGATTTTTTAAAAACTGCTTCTTTTTCATATCTTTCTGTATGATTGCAGGAAAATGCAGATACATGCCTCTGCTACCTACGAAGAGCCATGGGACAGAAGCAAGCAGCAGGAGCAGTTACAGGCCAAATTTCAAAAGGTTACTCCCCAGAATCAAAAACGGGCACCTCAGAGGTCGAGCTCAGAGGTTCAGGAACCAACCTCAGAGGGAGCTGACTCCAAAAGCTCATTGGTCAGAGGGAGTAAGTATCTCCGTCTCTGTGCGCCACCCGAGAACAACATTGTTTTTGAAGATTATATATTTTTACTTTTCAAAAGGTAGTGAAATGGATTTGAGAGAGTCAAGAGAACCATGAGAAACTGTTCCATCCCAATTGAAAGAATTGCAAAGTTGGCCTACCATAGAAAACCACATATATAATCCCCTCGACACTTAACTGTAACAGAGGATGTAAAAATAAAGCATCAGTGGCCTATTGGTTTGGCTCTCATACTGGCAACCGTAATGTCGTGGGTTTGAATTCCTTAAGGACCTGACGTTGTTTCCTTGGGAAAGGCACTTAACACGAATTTTCCTCACTTCACCCAGGTGGGAATGGATACCCAGCTATTGACAGCGAAGATCTTATCAGTTTGTTAGTGTTTGAGGGCATACGATTTGCAGCTTGCATTGTATGATTCCTGGGAAGCAGAGAATGTTTCTGAGGGTTCTTGGGTCTGCTGGGGTAATAATGATTGTAAAGCGCACAGAGCATGTTGTAGAGCATGGATATTTAATGCAATTATTATTGTGATATATTGTTTCATGCATTATTTTGATTTTGCAGAGAAGATAACTTAATCAATCTTCTTGGGTTTTTTCCTTGCCCTAGAGTTCCACAGTGTTGATGAAAATAAAGTTAAGAGCAAGAGCAAAGGATGTAACATCGGGCAGAGGATCAATCCGATGATTCCTCTTGTGAATCAAAAGTAAGTAGTACCGGTAGTCAGTTGGTATTTTGTTCAATACATCTATAAAACAACACTTTCAACTGTACCAAATGTGACTGAAGTGTTCGGGAGTTCTGGATGAATGAAAAAGGTTTCAATTTGTCAAACTGAACTTTGAATGCCTTAGTAGACAACTTGGGTCATTTGTAAAGTGGAGATTCGGTAATTAAACTTGTTTAGCAAGAGCACTGGTATCAGTAGTGTAATGGTTAATCACTTGGCTGTGACAAGAAAAAAATTGTTTTTTCAATTTCCACATGGGGTAATCTAATTTATTCAATGTCCCTTCTTTTTGCTGGGAAGTTGTATCCCACTCAGCCAAGGAATGGCCCTTGTAGGTAGACAGGCTTGAAGTACCCACCTCCTAAACGATTAAAATTTTGTTACGCTCTTTTGCTTTATTCGAATAGAAAGTGGGTTGTTTTTGTGGGGGGTATTTTCATCTTTTATTCTAAATTGCATGTTGTTCACTGTCATACTATTATTTCATGAAAAAAAAATGGCTTGATTTTTATTTTGTTGAAAGAAATATTGCATTCCAATCGCAAGTGTATATCATATAGTTTACTGGAAATATGCAATTTGCCCCATTCAAGGGGTGTGTTTAGACTACCTATATATATATATAAAATCAGGCACGGTTCTTTGATCATTTGATGCTTGTCCTAGTCCCTAGCTCGATTTTCTGTTTATATCTACTTATCATAATAGTAACACTCTCTCCCTTGTGCTTTTACCTTCCTGTCCAGCCCCAGAAACACTTCTCACAGGGACATAAGTATTATCTTATCTTACCTTTATTTTATCTTTAGCTGGTTCCATGGAAACATCAGTAGAGATGATGCGGAAAAGATGCTGTGTGTTTGCAAGGAGGGGAGCTACATTGTCCGAATCAGTTCCGACAGGAAGTCATACTCACTTTCCATAAAGTAAGTTTTAACGCATTATCGTTTCTCTCCAAGCATTAAATGTTATATTCCACCAACCAGCTGTTCAGATTTACCAAGCCCAAAATTTTGAAATGTTTAAAAATTGCTGACTCCTAATATGTGGTATCATTTGCTAGTTCTGAAGAAATATTTTTTGGGCTTGGTAAATTTTCACAGCTTGCTGGGGATTTTCTTTTTGTTAAGTTCCGTAGTTTAGGCCAATGTTTTTGCCTTCTTTGAGAGTAGTTCATGATTTGTTGGCAGAGTTTTTTAAAGACAAACATGATGCTTGTTTGATAGTGTTTCAGCGTGTGTAATCCACAGCTTGTACTGTATGCTTTCAGGAAATGTGAAAATGTTTCTTAGAGTTGTGTTCTTGAGTCTTTTGGGGTATTTGATTTTAAACTAATTTAAACAGGGTTCCCACTCAACTGGGAAAACAGGAAAAAGGGAAGAATTTTATTTTCAAACTTCCCGGTCGGGAAAACACAATGAAAATGAATGAAAACAAAAATATTAGGGAGAAAGCCGGGAAATCAAAGGCCTGCCCACAATGATGAATTTGGCGGAATTGCTAAGGTGTTTAAAAAGTCAGATCCCGACAATCTACGTCTCTACGTCAGGTGCAGCAGTCTAACTTTAACACCCTCTGTGCACAGAGCCCTTATAGTTGCCTTGTGCCACTCTATCCTCAGAGAAACATTAGGTAGGAGGGTTTGTTTCCAGTTTCAGGCGATCGATTCGGGCGATCGGCCTGATCCAGCGGTAGTGGGCACCCCGTATTAGGCCAAGTTCAATTTGGCTAGGTGTTAAAAAATGCTTGCACCTGCATATTGTGGATGATGGCATAGGCTAATGAGGGAATAAAACAAACAAACCAGATACACAGCATGTTGTCTAGTGATGTACAATTAAGATCAAGGGCTTGTGACTTGTTCTGTTGGGGGGTTTTTTTCTTTTCTTTTTTTGCAAGAGTCAAGCCGACGGCCAATAAAGTAATCCCCCCCCCCCCTTGTTTACGTTACACTTACCCTATAACCCCTGTCCTTGATAGGGACACCCCAGGAAAAGGGACTGTCCATGACCATGTTACGATTTTTATCTCGTATTTCTTCTTCCTATTATCTCGTATTTCTTCTTCCTAGTTCTGTCATCTTTAAAATAAGTCACGATTTTTACAAGTAATAAATGGTTACAAAATCCAGGAGGAAACAAGGAAAAACTGGGAATTTTTTTGTACCTTAATGAGTGGAAACCCTGTTTAAAGCGCAAAGAGCATGCTGTACAGTGTGAGTATATGCTATATAAGTGCAATTATTTTAATAATTATTATAATTATTATTAATATTATTTTCATAATCATAATTAGTTTTACTATTTCTATTATTACTGTCATTATTTGAATTATTATTACTATTATTATTATTATCATTATTAACATTATTATTACAATCACACTGACAAGTTTTATCCATTCATCCAGGAGCTCCAAGCAATACATCCATGTGCAGATAGAGGAGCTCAACATGTCGGACGGGACAGTGCGCTACATCCTGGGCAAAAACAGCAAAGAGTTCCCGTCCATCCCTGAGATGATTGACCACTACACCCACCACCGAGTCCCGCTGAAGGGTGCCGAGCACATCACACTGCTCCACCCTGTAGAGTGCAAGTGGTCATAGCCCCCACTCCCAGACCTACTCAGTTGCGGTGGGTAAAAGTAAAGTTGGCCTCCCCTTGCACCCAGGCCTGGGGTCACCTTGGGGTTGCAGCTCTGTCTGACAACATCCGGAAACAGCAGGCTGTGATCACGGTGATTTGTGAAAGCAAAGGGAGGTTACACTGAACTTTTATGCCCAGATATGTTTTCCTAGAGAGTGGTTGTGTGCTGTTGAAAGTCCAGATAGCTCGAAAAATGGATTTTGAAATGCTGCGAGTCATGATTGTTGATATTCTTATGCAGTCACTCTGCTTTGTCGGTGTAGAACAAAAGGGATGCAAACCTGGCTTTAAGATGAAAAAATACTTTTGATAAAACCCATCGAGATGTGTCAATATTGGGCTCTATGGTCATGAAAAAAGCCACTGCATACTCTGTACTTTCATTCTTTGTGGCTGGTGTATAAAAGCTAGCCTGCTTTCGGCCCAGTTGGTGACCTTTGCACTATGGTGCTGAGGACACTGATTGAAATTTTCCGCCAGTCATTGCTTAACTCTAGTTGTCTAGAGAGTTTTAAGCCTCTCCATACAGATGACTTGTTCATATCAGAGTAAGTTGGACCCATTAACTTAAATTATGATATCTTTGACCAGGCACAGTCACAACTGCTGCTCTTTGCACCTTACTGTAACTCACTTTGCTGGTGCCTGCCATGGGAGAGAAAATGAAGGGGAAAAGCGCCAGTCTCGCTTAATCGAGTACATGCGCAACTTTCCCTCCTTGCCCTTCTTTTGGTCGCAAAATGAGTCTAAAGGTGCTCTCCATAATGAACTGGAATCGGTTCAAGAGTGCACAGTCTTGGGTATTTTTATAATACAAGTCTATGGTTGAACCTTAAATTCAGTGGTCCTGTCTGTCTTAAAGTGGGCATTTCTGCAATGTGGCCACCTCTCACAATGTTAAAAGGGGTGTTAAACCAATACCATACAGCAACAAAGCTCTATTCACACATGACTGTTGTCTGATTTTAAATTTTGGACTATTACCACTTTCAAATGAGCCATTACAGAGTCATTTATTTTGATGTGCTTACTCAATACATTAAGTTTATACTCTCATCAAAGTTTTCTGGCTTTTGAGTGGAAGTGAAGAATGTTTCTGATGTCAACGAGTGCCATGATGTTTTTGCTGAGTGCTGGCTGGTGATGTGTGACTTATTTTTGTTCTTTTTGCGAGAAATTAGTGTTCATGTATCAACTGACTGCTGACTTCTGCACGCACCCACAGACAGAAATGCAGTACAAGAAAACCAAGATTCAATGTGTTTTATCGAGTCCATAAAATACCTTTTCCTATATTGGGGTTTGCTGTGTGATAGTCAAAGGGAATGCCTTATCGGTACCATTTTGATTTATCCCAGTATACCCTGGGGGGTTTTTATGTTGCGTTAGAACAGTTTTGGCAGTTTGGCCTCTTTGCAAGTTGTGAAGTGAATGTCTTTTTGGTAAATCATTGTTACAGATGGAGTCGTGACATAAATTCTGTTACTGTTACTCTTTTTGACATTGATATTATCAGAAGAGTCCAATTAGTAAAATTGCCAAAGGGCTTATTTTAAATTACAATGTTTTGTCATTCATGTTTCACTGCATTGCTGTGCGAAGCTTTTCATTTGTGCTAAATGCTGTTTGAAAAGATATTTTATCTTCCTGTTAGTCTTCCTATTTGTAGAGCAGATCTCGTGATGATGATAAGAGCATGTACCATTTAGGAGTGCATTGTACAGAAAAAATAGTATTTTTGTGTTTTATGTCTTTTCAAACTTAATAGAATTTTTTGTAGAATTGTGCTGTGAATATGCTTGTACAAATTGGATTTATATTGTAAAGCACCAAATGTGGTCATAACAGTTTTGAAATATATGCATTACTAGCAGTGTGATCATACAGACTGATGAAAAGGAATACATATTTCAGGGATAAATCTCAGAAAATTACACATAAAATTGACATAACCAACAGCTCATACCAAGCTTGGAATATTAGACATTTTTGGAGAGTTTGGCTATGGTGTCATGATCATAAGTTTGTTTTGGTTAAGAGATACAAGAAGGTGACCTTTTAATCTCTATTGAAATGTAATCACTTCATGATTGAAGGTTCTCAAAGATATTCTTTATCCGTATTGTGATCTTTGGAGGAGTACTTTATCTCCACTTCTAGTCTGTACTGTAGCCTTTTAATGGCAAATGGATGAAAAAAATAAGTCCTGCAAGACGTTGCTTTGTTACTGTTGAGACTCGTTTTTGCTCAGTATTTTAACATGTTCACAACAAAGGAATTGTAAAAATGTGTGCAGGTTTATTGTGACCACTTTGCTGTAAGGTATTTGTCTGAAAGGTGCTTCTTTTTAGTTGTGACGTATTGATGTTTTGTAATGAATGCTTTGTGTGGCTTCCTTTTTACACTGAAAAACCTTGTCTGCTCGACAGTTATGTGATTTCAACTTTTATTTATCTTTTTTTTCTCATTGTTTGTTCTGTGTTTCACGAAAAGGTATGTGGCCGTTCTCTTACAATTCCCTTTTTTTTTTCTTTTTTCCCCCTCTGCTGCTCTTTACAGTGGACTTTGCTTAACTCTTTGAATCCAGCTCACCACTGTTTTTGATTCCATGTTTCACCAGTTCGCCACTTAAGTGATATTTTGGAGATACTGATTTCGTCAACCCCCAAGATGTACACCTGATACTGATCCTGTGGTACATTTACTACCTATTTTCACTCGCATTGTGATCCTTTGTCCAATTACATATAGCTTGAGTGCTCATACAAACAAATCCATCAAGATTTGACTCTGAATTATAGCCGTTTTGTGGTGACGTCCATTGCCACTGGGCATGGGAAATTGTGGAATCCCTTATCATACGAAAAGAGTTACGATGTTCAGGGGATACCAAAATTTTCATTTTTAACACAGTTCACTGTATAATATTGTCATATCAAATTCGTCAACATTGAATTCCTCTTGCAGTTTCCCGTTTCAGTGTTCCTGATTGCTTTTTGCCTTATTAATGTTCTGCATGATCTGTGTCAAGTCCACGCCTTATTGGAAGAAAGCTTTAATTATCATATGACACAGTACATGTGCATGTAGGCCTGCAATAGACCCATTACAGATGACGTCAGAATGTCCAGTTTGCAGTCTGTCCGAAAGAAATGTTCACTTCTCCTGTGCTTCAGTTGTTTCTGGCAGTGGCGTTACTTGGACTTTTGGAGTGAAAACCCATTTGAATGAAATGCACCTCCAGCAAGAACACTTGTTGTGCGTTACAACAGGCCAGTGTAATTCTGACCTGACAACAGCTGGTACAGACTAGTTTGTTACTGTGCAAAGATGATGGCACTCCCTCCAAAAAGTACAAAACAACCCCACAAAAAAAAGAAGAAATAACTGGTTCTCAGTCCAAGCTAAAGTCAAGGAAAATAATTAGGTTAATTTTTTTAAATTTTTTTTTTTAGTTCTCAAGAGCCATGTTGTGCTAAATTTGTAAAGAAACAGCCGGTTCTTTGTACTAAATTTGGCAATTTTAAATGAAATTTTAATTGGAATTGATGAAGTATTTTGCAGATTTTATATGCTAGTTAATTTCAGTGAAGCATTTTTCACAGTTTTGTACCTGTCTGGAGTTAGATGTATAGAATATATAGAGTAGTAGATCTATGTTATTTTTTTATGTTTAGGTGGAAACAATTTTCATTTGAGTCTTGTGATTTGTTTTCTTGTCAGTGCCTCCAAAGTTTTGATTTTCACATTTGAATTTTGTCGATACTGCTAACTTGTATTTATAAAGCAGCATTTGTGAATGATCTTGGTTTGTGATGCTATGTTGTTAAATGCACAATGCTACGCTTCATGGAATTAATGAATTTGATGGTTTCAAGTGAAAGAATTGGGAACATTTACAATTTACCATTCAGTCACTTTAACTCTATTCATGCCATGCTTCTGGTTGCTGGAAGTTCCTTCAATATGTTATTTTGCACCAAGAATTTTGTTGACTTGCATTATTTAGGGATATATTTGCAAGCTAGTCTATTTATCATTTGACAAATGACAAATTAAAAAATAGTGACATTCTTTAGTTAAAGCTTTTTTAAAAAAGTATAATAGATTAAATGTCATCAAAATGTCACAAACTCAGCCTAATCCCCCCCCCCCCCCCCCCCCCCCGCCAAAAAAAAAGAAAGAAAGAAAAGAAAATGATGCCCGCCAAAAAAAAAGAAAGAAAGAAAAGAAAATGATGCCATACATATTTTCTCCAAGTAAGGCTACAACATAAGATAAATAATCTGAGACTGCTGTGTTCTTCATTGTTTCCATGGCCATGCTTTCTCTCTTTTGTAAAATGCATATGGGGGTAAAGATGGAAAAGTGTTCAGTTCAGTTTGGGTTGTTTTTTTTCAAATAGTGTAAAGTGACTTTGAGCAGCACTGAAAAGATAATGTATATTTAATATAAATGTTGTCATGTGTTATTGAACTTGTTTTGTAATTGTTATTTGTCTGTCAGGATTTTGCACAAAAAACATTTGTGTCTGTTGTGTGTATGTTGCAGATGTATGGAAGCCCCCTGTTTAAGGTCATTATTCTTTGCTTTAATCATCCAGCCATGCGCTTCACCTTTAGCCTCTCAGGATAGATAGAATAGATCACAAAAATCTGAGATTTGTGGTACTAGAACATCTCAGTTTCTTGTATTTCTGTGAGAGTTAGTATCTGTCACTGAGGAAGAACTTGAGTTTGTCCTTCCCTTATAACTTTATTGTTTGTTTCTAAAGTGTTTGTTATTATAGCAATCCATGACCAGAAAACATTTTTCGTATAATACAGGATGCCTCTTTTTAAAAAAGGACCCACTCAAAAAGGGGAATAACTTTATCATCTCTGCACTTATTTTTTTAAAGTATAAAATTCAAGGATGGGGACATCCATTTTGTAAATATAAAGAAAATCGTTAAATCATGTGTTCGAGAAATATCAAGTTTTTAAAGTTTCAATCAAAACTGGGTAAAACGCAGAATTTTACTTGTTATAATTATAAACGTTCAGCTTCAGGGGTGTGATCAGCCTGTTCTGGTTTGAGGAGCAGGACGGTAAAACCACAACTGTCACCTTAGATGGATTTCTAAACGTGCTGAGAAAGTTGAGGAGGAGAATGTGTTATACTGTAGAGGCCTGGTTCTAGTGGGATAGGTCACAGACTACACATCAAGAGGCTCTGATATGGTTGCAAGAAAGGCTTGGGGAATGCTCTATTTATAAGCCAAAATTTACAAATGAATGGGTACCACATTCCCTGAACTTGGGCTCCTTCAATTATTACATTTGGGGATTTTGACAGACAGAGTCTAGGTAAACAACCCTCAGACAAGGGAACAGCAGAAACTCCATGTCGAACAGGATGTCCAAAGAATCCACCCAGAAACATGCCACAGGGTAGTTCAAAATTTCCAGTGGCGTATTAATTGAAGCTTGTATGGAAAGAAATGGTCTACACCTGGAGATTTAAATAGTAACAACTTTCCTTGAGTTTATTTAGCAATATCAATTTTGTATTAATTTGTTTTTCAAATCACAAATAGTGACTATTTGAAACAAAACAGTATGGTTGATTTTTAAGAAGTTACAAAGTTTTGCCTGTCAGTAAATTTTAGTTGAAATTTTAGAGATTTGATATTTTTCGGACGTATTGATTTTTTTTCATATTGACAAATGTAACGCCCCATGGTTGAATTTTACTTCTGAGAAGTTTTATTAAAATTGGCTCAAAGATGACCAAGTTATTGCCGTTTAAGTGGGTTCTCTTTTTGTCTAGACACCCGGTGCATCATGTATAGCCTTTTTATGTGAAACAGCAACATGTGTTCATTGTGCTTATATTAACAAACTGAATGTTTTTCAAGAAGTTTAATTCCATTCCGATTAGAATGCTGAACATTAGGGAAAAAAAACCATATTGATTGGAATTTTTTAATGTATCAATCAATTGTGCAGTATGAGTCTGCCTAATGTCTTTATATATCTATGCATTAAGTCTCTTCAGCTCTGTATTCAGAGCTAAGCTATTGTCAGCAACTGTACTTTGGTGTTTAAATCTGATTTGTTATTGATGGACAAAAGGTTGGCATGTAGTTGTAGTCAAAGATTCTGTATAACAAGATGGTTCTCTCCTCTCTTTGAACCAATTAAAAAAGAGTCCTCAAAATCTGATGGTGCCCTCTTTGTGAATAGAGTAACCCTACTAGTGTGGAAAAAAAATCAAAGTGAAATTAACAAGTTTTGTATAAATTATAATTTAAATTTCAGAATAACGCCTTTTTAAATGGTTACGCTGACTAAAGTCCTCTTCAGGTGGAAGGGTCGACTGTTTTCTTAATTTAATTTGGCTTTAGAACAAGAAGCGAGTGGTCATGAAAATAAAATAAACCCAAAATTCCACACTAAGCGAACCGGAACAGCTGATGCGAAAGGGGGTGCTATTGCTATTCTTCTTCTAGAGAAATGAAAGAGAGCTTCAAAACAAAGACTGCAGCGACATCTGTACCAATGCACGGACTTCCGCTGACACTTTTTTGGCCGAGTGAACTATTTTGTTATGTTCTATCTTTGATGTAGTAGAGTTCCTTTTCCTTGACATTCTTCAGATTGAATTAATCAAGACATTCAATCCTATCTATTTGAGAGTATGCTGTTGTTTTGGTACTTTTCATCTCATAGACAGTGATTGATAAATCGTATCGGTTTTATAAAAATGTCATTAACTTGTATCTGAAAGAGGAATAATCAGATCAGTCTAATGTTTTGTAACAAATGTTTTGGGGGTTTTTTAACATTTTTTTTTTTTCGATTTCGTTTTTTCTCTAGGGCAGTTTATTTGTACAGTATTAGAGGTTAAATGATTGCTTCTTAGTCAGTCTTAGATGTTCTTACTGGCCTGATTGAAAAAAAAAACAACAACAAAAAACAAAGATTATTCATTCTTCATTATTTTTAATAATACTATGCATGTTTATGGTGACATAAATGGCCTAAAAATGCAATGTTAGCCCGTTATCCTTTAGAAACTAGAATTTAAAAAGTTTTATTGCTTATGTTGTGAATCCTTATAGTTATAATAAATACATGTAGCTGTGAAAGGGTGAAGTAAAATTGTCATGGTTGTAGATTTTCTTTAAGCCTGCATTTTTGGTTTATTCTTTTCTGCAATTTACTTTTCCAAGATATTGTTATGGTCGGCTGTTTCTCCAAATATTTTATTCTTTCCTTCTTCACACCTCACGTCTCCGCAATTAAGAGTTCTCTTTTGATAGTTGAACTCCCTTAACATAATGCTCAATAGCTCAAAATGTTTCCAGTGATTTGTTGTATTTTACAGTCAGCAATGGAAATCTGTGCAAAAGGAAGATTTCTAAGCATCCTGAAATGTCACTTCTTTGCTCCTTCACATTTTAGCTGAAGGACTAATTTTTCAGGTTGCCATTCCCAAATCGTTGGCAAGGGTGAAAGACTGTTTGGTATGCAATGTGTATGTGTGCAATGAGCAATGTGCCAAATGCAATTTTATATGCTTTCAAAACGATTTGCTTTGATATGTTTCTATCTTAATATTGTATGCTATAGTTGCAGTCTCATATTTTGTAGTGAATGCGCAAAGCACCAAGTCCCTTCTTAACCAGATCTGAACCTAACCGTTGCTGTAATCTTTTTGAGTGGAAGATAGTGTGAAGAGTTGTTTCGAGTTGTTCTGTTTTCCTCTCTCTCTTCATTGGCAGGCAGTCTTAGGCCTTGGCTCAGAAGAGATCCCATACGGCGATACAAGGGGCACTGAATATAAAATACAATACAGTACAATACAATACAATAAACTTGATTGTCCTGTCCTTTCTGGAAACTTTTCTCACCCTCACAGTGTCTGAGAGTGACAGTTAATAACAAGTAATTCATTGAGTATGATTGAGGACTTGTATGTGTGCAAGTTGTTTTTTGTTACTGTTTTCCTCTGTTTCCCCATCTCTCACTCACACATGCTCAAGCATGCTCTGGTAAAAAAAAAAAACCCGGCAGAACATACTGGGGACTTTAACTTTACACATCAGTGCTTGCCTAAATGGGCGTTGCGCTCGCTCATGGGTGATTTGGTCAACCAGGTAGTAACACGCCTTATTGACATTGGAAATACGTGATAGGTGGTACAAAAACTTTAGCCTCTTATTAAAGGTGGCTCAAGTAGACGCTGGCCATAAAAAGGTTGACAAACTCTGCTTCACACTTTAACCCTATCCGTATGCCCTGGGGTCATGTTGTACCCCTGGGGTTGTATTCTTCACATTTTAGAATACTTCTAGTACAAAGGTCTCTTTGAAACTTTCAGTATTTCTCAAAAAATCATTTTGACAGACTGCTACGCAAAGCGTACGGATCGGATTAACGAGTAAATTTCCTCTTTGAAAGTGGTGGCACAGAGCTCCACATGCCGTATGGATACGATAGTAAAACACGACGTACGGATAGGGTTAAAGATACACTCTTATGCTTTATATATCTGAAATGTTGTTTCTATTATTATTAATGGAACTATTAGTCAAAGGTCAGTTCTGATGTCTGGGAATGTTTTTTACACCATTTTGTGACTGAGAGTTTGTATTTAATTGTAATTGTAACATCACAGTAAATTAAGATTAAGATGCTTTTTTATTCAGAGGAATCCTTGGTGACAGAGGTAGATATTGACAAATACTGACCGCAACAATTTCTGACATATTTCTCTGAAGGGGCACAATCTATAGACAAGGCCCATCCATCGGACAGGTCATGCTATTTTGTCTCTCTGTCGATGTTCACATTTTATGACAGGACAGTTTTCTAATTTTTATTATTATTATACGAAAGAAGTTATGAAAAAGTTCTGTGAAAATCATATTTGGGTCGCAATTAGAATAAAAACATGTTGGAAGCTTCTGTGTAAGTTTTGCAAGTCCAGGAGAAAGTCTTTATCCTTTGCAACCACTCAAAAGGCTCACTCAGTGTGTTCATTATACTTTTGACTGAACGTTAAAAGAAACTAGAGCTTGGCCTTATAGGCTTGAAATCTATTTCTAACTACTACTACTACTAAAGCTAAATATGTTTGTGTCTGGGACCATTGACCAAGTTATTGTTTGCTGTGTGACTGTGCCAATGTATTTTCATTTTGCTATCTAAAACTGAGTATGACATTGTACATGTATATGTAAGCAAACAAGAAGCTATCACTTTTTTTTAATCAAAGTGTTTTTCTTCCTTCATTTGGTTTCGTACGTGGTTGAGAAAGATGCAAGAGGAATGTTGTATTAGAGAGAAGCATGTCGAAACAATAATGATCATTTAAAGGGAAAAAGGAAGATAGAAACCACAGGAAAAGAAAAAGAAGTTGGACCTACAAAGTAGCTTACCATTCCCAAATCCTTGGCAAGGGTTAAAGAGACTGGAAGATCTGCACCCATAATGCAAAAGAGGAAAATGTTTCAGCACCACCCTGCAGTGTAACATCTTTGGTATTGACTTAAATGTAGTCCTGCCACTGGTGAAAATGGGATTCCTGATTCCTACTCCCAGATGAAGCCATATTATAGGTGTACTTCTACCAAAGAGGTTATATAATACTACTAGAGCTCGCAGCAGTGTCCTCACACGTGTCGGACTTCGGGGCCTTCTTACCCTCGTTGGTATGGCTGGCGTGTCATTACATGAACAATATGAGCCCCCCACCCTGCTCCCCACGAGCTCCAATAAACGCTACCTTGCGTCCATATTTCAGCGCAAGCTTGTAGATTTCCTCCAAAGTGGGCACATGCAGCCCCCGTTCGTTTACGAGGGGGACATCACTTCCGCAAACTCTAGTGCTAAAAATATAACCTCTTTGACTTCTACTTCTACACCTATCATCATCTCACACAAATCTGCTGGGCCCTGGGCAGTGATGGAATGTGTATCTGCTGTCATGAGATGCCTTTTGCGAGTCAGACTCTGGGTGTAGCAGTTACTAACAGATACCAAGACTAAGCCTAGACTGAATATCCTTCACTGTTCAGTAGCCATCGACTTATACTTATAGAGGCAGTGTAAGATGAGATTATGGCTTTTCAGAACAGCAAGTTGGGGATGCTGACCAAATTTCCTACAAAGGGTGACTGTGTGTTTTATTAAATGCTTTCATCTTTACTTTCCCTCTGTTGTCTCAAGTGTCTTGTCTTTTTTCTCCCTGCTCTAAATGATATGACCATTGTGTTGATGTGCTTTTCTTAACCCCAACAAACAAATCTTTTTAGTAAGTGTTTTACGACACTTGCTGCAGCACAATTAGGTCATAATATAAGTGCCAAAGATTAGAAATGTTTCAAGAGAGTAACTTACAGTACACAGAAAAGGAGGAGAGATAAAAATGATAGATGTTTGATAGAAAAAATGGTCAAACAGCACCAGAGCACCCACCAACCACCCACTGAAATTCTTAATAAACTTTCAACAATTAGTAATCACATGTCAGTTTAAGGTGTGAATTTTTTACATGTTGCAAAAACTTAATAGCGGTGCATGGCACAATTAAGAAAGATCTGGATCAATTATGCAGAAAAATGACTCATGAAAAAGCATGCATGCCTCTTCATAAGAGCCAGCGTGCAGTACCGTAGTTACCATTTTGAAATCAATAATGATAATAATTATTAGCGTGTATCCCTACTCAACAGCAAGCTCTGTGGGCTTTACAATCTATTATTATTATTACCCCAGCAGACCCTAGAACACTCAGAAACGTTCTGTGCTTCCCAGCCAGAAGAAGGTATACAAGTGCTAGCAGCCAAGCTGATTAAGCCCTCAGACACTACGAACTAACAAGATTTTTTGTTGTCTATAGTCGGGTACCCTTTACCACATGGGTGAAATGGTGAAAATTCATAAAAAGGTCTTTCTCAAGGACACAACAGGCCCCTGACAGGGTTCGAACCCACAACCTTCCGGTAACAAGCCCAACTATTAGATCACCAATGCCACAGGTTAAATAAAAATGCAGTAAAGCCAGACCAATACAAATGTATGGAGTTACCTATTTTATTTGTAGTTTCACTACTAATAGATATGGGGATTAAGGATTCCAACCAAGGATACCAGTACCACTAGTACCAGCCACAAAAACAAAGAAACAAAAAAAAATGTTTTTTAAACTTTCTGTCAGGTCAGACTGCTGACTAAAATTAAATGTATCCCTGGTAATGATTAGATTAGCTTCTGTTTAAGTTACATGTATGGCCAACACAAAACTGTGGCCATCGTGGTGAAATTGGGCGCTTGTCAAATTAATTTAATCAAAGACTGCTGCAAGGCAACTTTTTTGTTCCTATTCTCTTTTTCACTCAAGACCTTTCTTGTCCATTTAAAAACACCTTTCTACTTTCTGTGTGCAGGTTACAGGAAAAACATTGACCGAAGGCATAAAAAAATGTAAATTTGCAGTTTAGAAGGACACTCAAACTTTGGCAGCCATTTTCTTGCTAATTTTAAATCTGACACCAGGCGGCCCCCATCTCCTTCACTTGTAAACTTCTACGTCTATTCAAGATAGATAGGTACTTTTTTCATCAAAAGCAAGATAAATGAACATATTAAGATGACACCAATAACTCCAAATGCCCAAAAATTGACGAATGCCTGATTCAACCACGTCATGATACGTAAAATTTCTGCTGTGAATTATGAAATCAGTACCTATAGAAATGCAAAGACAAACCAAACTTTGATGTCTCATGATATTTATTGTGACAACTGAGTCTACAGTAGCATGCACTAAGTATAAAAAATATCTAGTTCTAGCCGAAAAAATCAAAATAAATAAATTTCAAACCGACAACAATACAAAAATAAAAGTTTTAAAAAACAGTGTACGCAAATTTAAAAAATACTTCGCAAATACAGCAAGACATCTAAACTACCATCTACCCATATTCACAAAAAAACATGAATGAGCAGGAATTGCATGGGAAGAATCTGAGTTCAGAATTTTTTATTTTTTTTTACAAATACGAATAAACCTCTAAGAAGGCAGAACAAGTTCACTATGTCATACGATGAAAGTGATTTTGTATTCTTTGAACCACAAATCCAAGACCGACTTTCAGATGATCTCAATGAAAGTGATTTTGTATTTTTTTTAAAGCTATACCTGTACTCATTAGTCTGTGTCTTTGTAAAAGAGGAGATGTCAGATGATGTAATTTTATTGAATCGTCACTAAAATTGTAAGACTATAATTAAATAATAAATCACAAAACAAAGTAAAATCAGTAGCCTACATGTACACACATCAATAAAAAAAAGTATGCACATGGCAATACTAATGAACACTAAAACCAAGTAAAGGTAAATGCATTTGAACACATGGGATGGTGGGACGAGAAAAGATGAAGCGGGCCTGTGGTCATCAAGCTAGTCATTCAATATTATCAAAGAAAGCTTGACACTCAATGCCACCTACCCAAAGATGTTATATTTAGTACGAGTTTATGGCAGTGATCTCCCCCATGTAAACAAACGGGGGTTGCGTGCTAGAGCTCGTCGTAGGGAGCGCGGGGGGTGTGTCAGATTGTTCATGTAAATGGGGGCATGCTGATGAGGGTAAGAAGGCCCCCATATCTGACACATGTGACATCACTGCTGTGAGCTTTAACTTTAAGATTATGAATAACCTCTTTGCACCTACCCTATGATCAACAACATGAAAAAAATCTCGTTAACACCAATCCTAATGCCCGGTATTGGGAACAGAACCAGGTTCTTTGTCATGGCAGAAAATAAGTTCTCTCAATGACAACCCCCCCCCCCCCCCCCCCCCCCCCCCAAAAAAACAGCGATGACTATTGCAAAAGCCGTTTGTAAGAGAAAATAGATGTAAGGTGTAAAATTCAAACTCAAATTTTTAACAATGCTAACGAAAAAAATATTAAGATATGTGAGTTATTAGCTTGTTTAAATGTCTTGACAAGTGCCCATAGGAGATTTTTCAAAAGGAGCAATTAACCCTTTCGTTGCCAGGAGGTATGCGTTCCTACTGTCAGCACTGATTTTTCAGCGGAGCTCGTTTCCCAGGACAGTACCCTAATGTCTCAGTGTAAATGGACGAGCGATCTAGAGCTAGATCTAGATTCAGCGCACTCGTGACATATTTTGGACACCAGGTCTTCAGTTGTCACTTTTCCCACTTTTCTTATTCCCCTTTTCCTCCCATCTCTTTGATAATTTCGAATAACCTGCAAATCTAAGTCAAAAAGTGAATTTAATTGACTTTTTAAAGTCATTTCGATGTTTACATTTTACGCCCCCAAGCCTACAACTGTGTTTATCGATCGCTTGCAAGCCTAGCAGTAAAGAAATACAAGCAAATTTAGAACCGATATGCGCATCTTTTATTTCCGAATACAAATCCACGCAGCATTTATGGCTTAAACTCTGTACAGAAGAATATTATTAGCGCCAGGCTTTTAGCATGATGTACGTGTAATGTCATATAGGCAAGCAGGAGCAAACAAAGGGGCTAAAGGACTCCACTTCATATGTTGCAGAACATTCAGATTTCTACACAATGATAACTTAGATTTCTTAACCCAATGAAGCCAGCAATAACATAAATTTCATAATGCACTATGCGAAAAAAAAACCACACCCCCAAAGTGTATAGTAACGAAACAGAGTAAAAATTTACAAGTTAGAAAAAAATGTACATTTGTGAAAGTAGAAGGTGAATTGCAAATCTTTCAGAGATTCGTAACAAACTTTTAGAGTTTGACATCAACAGTGACAATAAAATGAGAGTATGCAAGGATAGATATAGCACTTGCTTCAGTTTGCTGCCTTAAGGTGCAAGAAGTTTATAGAGAATAACATGAAGAAATTTCACTTTTTACAGTTACATGACAACAAATAGTACCAAATACGGACAGGACACAACAGTCTCAAGCATCAAGGATAACGAATCTAGCATCTCTCACATTCTATCAGAAAATAAGACAGGCTGAGATAGGAAGATCATCAGACTGGAGTAATTGGCAATGCTGAAAAGTAGCACAGTCAAAGGCAAGATCTCTGTTTTGTTACCACAGACTACCTATAGTTACACCTGTCAACAATCCAACGTTCATTGCACATTCAACGATTGTAGGCACACTGAACTTTTAAAAAATACCAGTGACCATTGCACAAGAGCCTATTGCTTTAAAATGGAGCAGAAAATAACCGTTCACTCACAGACACACAGGGGTGAATTTAATAGACGAAATATTTCTCCAGACTTCACAAAAAATATACTTGATGGGATCAAGAACATCTTAGCATTATCTAGCTAAATCTTGAAATAAACCAGTGGTAAAAATATGGTCTATGGTCTACGGTCCTTTTTATCCAGAAAAGAACTTAGATACTAGAACTATTACTAGTAAAACACTCTGGTACCCAACTGAAAGTGACCAAATTCAACTGGAACAAAATCAGATAAGTTAAAGTAGTACAGCTTTTTTCTATAAAGACTGCCAACAAGTGGACTTTAAGTACTAAAATAAACTCAAAAACAAAATAGTAGTTGAAGCAACGAATTTGAGTATAAATCTTTGCACTAAATCAGTCAGCAGCAGAGCCACAAGCAAAGTGAGATCTATTCCACCTTCCTCTCATAGCGAGTCTCCTTGAACTTGTACACATACTTTCTCACTGGGCTGGCAAAGTCAATGGTCTGTGTCCTTCCAAACTTCTCAGTATCGCGCTGCGTGAAGAGGGCAAACAGATGGGGCATGACGAACAAGATTCCGTTGACCGCCCAGAATATAATGGCTCCCTTTCCACCACTAGGAGGTCGCAGGCTCTTGGAAGTACGAGAGTTGAGAGCTCCGGCCATGTAGGTGAATTGGGCCTGAAGGGAGGAGAAACAAGCTGTTTAATGAAATCATAATTCAACTGGTCCGGTCCTACTTTTCAATGTTATGCAACCCATGAGACAGAAAAAAACAAAAAAACAACTACATCTGACAGGTTCAGATGTACTTTTTTTTAGTGTTCATAACGGTTCCTCAAGATCACAGAGAAAAGCGATCGTTATAGTTATAGACAGGGTATCAGTTGTGATAAGTTACTAGACCTGACAGTCTACAGTTAGTTAGCTTAAAGTTTCAAATCATAACTTAACATTTCCATTAAACTTTGCATTGATTGAACAAACACATTTTCGCTGATCACTTGATCCCGAACATCCTCAGAATTACAGTGGTGTCCACTAACAGCAACCAAGAGAAGAGCAACCTCCATCTAACAGCAACCAAAGTTTGTCTAACACAATTCTCCATAAATTAACACCTTTAACAGCATCCTCTGCTGCAATAAATAATTGTCTGACAAAAAATTTTTCAATGACTCTATACCACTTACAATGGTTCAAGCAGTGGCTCACTGATGCTGCCTTTATTCTCACTTTCCGACATAACAACATCATCACATCATGAGATAAGAAAGTGAGTGAGGGGTGTGGGTACAGAATACCCCCCCCCCCCCACCCATTTGAAAATTCAGTTTGCAGCAACTTCCACCTTACATCAACAAAGGTTTGCTTCCCAACGGGGGTTGCTGTTAGGCGGACACCACTGTAACTGAAACTAGTAGGCTATCTAAGAAAATAACGATCTCCCAAGACTCTTCGTACAACCTGTTATCACATAAAAAAGTAAAAAGCTAAAAAATTAAAAAGTGTCAATATAGTAAAAACCACTGTAACAGTCACCTTTCCAAGACAATCCAACCACTTCCCACTTTGCACCCTTTTATTATAAAAGCACTGTCCGAGATGACCATAAGACAACTGCTTTCTACAAGACAAAGGAAGAGTTAACAACACAAAGCATAGCCGTGACCCTATCTATTCTCACCTGTCCCGCTGCTCCAGCATGTACAAGGGAGAAATCTCCCATCCAGTGCTGTCCAGGACTCCAGAGACCGTACATAGCGAAAATGTAGTAGCACACATAGAGGTAATCGTACGTCAGCATCTGGGAACAGACAACAAAAGATAAGAGAGATAAGATAAGATAGTACTTTATTATCCCAGAGGGAAATTTTCCTTGGCTGTACAGGACCGTAAAAACACATGCAGGTATACATTAAAAAATTTAAATCATATATATTACTCTCATTAAAATTCAATATGAAAAGAGAAGTAAAGCTGACAAAATGTACATATCAAATGCATCATTCAACCACATGCAGGAATTTAAATACTAGACCTTTGGAGTTATATACAGATACATACTCTAAGAGCAACACACATCTATGCTCATTCTGACAAAAGCCTTATGCTAGATGGTAAAAAACTTCTTTTATATCTTTCTTTCTTTGTTTTTGGAGGAACATATCTGCCGCTGCGTGATCTTACAATTTGTGTGGAAAAGGGGTGTGATGGGTCGTTTATAATGCTTTTTATCTTTTTATACGTGTGGTGTTATACATTTCATCCATTCTTATAAAATCATATCTAGAGATCTTGCTGGCTTTCTTAATGGTTCTGTCAAATTTTTCTTTATCTTTCACCTTACAATTCCCACCCCAGCAGCAAAATACAAAATAATAGCACACTTTCAATCATAGAATGGTAAAAAAGGGACATAACCTTATTGTCAACACGGAAACTTTTTTAATTTCCTTAAAAGAAACATTCTTTGATTTACTTTTTTATGCACAAGAGCAGCGTGGGGATTCCAGTCAAATTTGTGGTCGATTGTTACACCAAGATACTTGTAAGAGCTTACCACCTCCACCTCTTCATCTTTAATAAATAGGGGTTGCAATTGGTCTTTTTTTACTCTAAAGTCTATTATTAATTCCTTTGTCTTTTTTACGTTTAGTATGAGGAAGTGGTTATCACACCAATTGGTAAATAGATTCACAGCGTGAATAATAAATTAGCATCAAAACTGGGTAGAGCCATCTATAAAAGTAAGCAGTTTGCTCACTGGTACATTCCACCAGAAGGATAAGGGCAATAATATTAATCACTAGGCACGCACCAAAGAAAATGGAACGTAGTTTTCCCCCCTGTCTCGAATTTAAATGTATTATATTTAAAACATTTTATTATAAAACTTGTACATTGCATGGCACTGCAGCAAAAATATGCACGAAAGCTACCCAAATATGTTGTAAATGTTGGCATAAAAGTATACTTTCGGTTTTTCTGTCATTACAAAAGATTTCAACAGTTGGATGATGAAGGATAGAGGGTACAAAAAAATTAATGAACACATTGAGACTTGTTTTCTGACCTAAAAATCTTAATCATTTATATTTAAGAGTGACTCTAAAGAATTCTTATCAGATAGTCAAAGTTAAACTGATCTAATGACTAACTGCCACGACATTCATTACAGATTAGCGGGCAACGGCCAGCTTAAATATTTCAGTACTGACCATATTTGCATAAATAAATGATTAAATGTCTGCTTCTTAATTTATAATAAACACTGTTCAGTACTAGACGGCTAACCCCTCTGGTTTGAATCTGAGACACACAAAAATTTCACATTTTAAATAACACCAGTGGCGACATATGTATCATAGTGCACTGAAAATTATTTAAAGGGAATGATATATCGGAAACCAAAGATAGTTAAAAAAGAAGAGCATTGGACTTCACTTAAACCCAACAAGGTTAATCAGAAAACAGCGGAAAACAGAAATAAAATAGAATATCCCCCCCCCGTCCTGCATATTCAAACTCAACTAAACTATGTAAATACAATATTAATTTATAAGTGTCACTTGCACCCCCCCCCCCCCCCCCCCAACAAAATAGAAAACCACACCAAAACAACAAAAAGAAACGAAAACAAAGGGCAAAAACAAAACAATCACCTGGAATTTAGGAGCTCCGCTGGGATCAGCGAGATAAGGCTCAGCAGACTTCACATACTGCTTGATGATCGGCACATTAGCACCATGAATAGCCTGATGAGCAAAAAAACACAAAAAGATGACAGAGAGCTAGCCACAGACATAAATCCACACCTCTATGCACTATAGCTCACAGTAAAAAAAAGTACTCGGTAATATATTTTTAGCTAAAATAGACCACATTAGTCATTGTCTCAACTTCAGTCACAAACTCGGGAATGACCTCTGCTTAGTGGCCCGGCAGGAAGCCAATTATTCAAATCCTCCAAAATGACATACTTACATTGTATAGGTGTCACGACGCGATGGAATCAGGCGCTCGTCAATTTTTGGACACATGGAGTTATTGGTATCATCTTAAAGCATGTTCATATGTTTTGGTTTAGATTTTAAAATCTCCATTCATCTTGGATACAAGTAAGCATATTGATGATAGAAGGAGGTGGGGGTTGCGGGTTACCAGGTTTCAGAGGTAAAATTAGCCGAGAAATGGCGGCCAAAGTTTAGTTATTTCCATAGCTTGAGAGTCCGTGGAAACAAAACATTTTTTGTGCCTTTAATGAATGTTTTTCAGTACAATCACAATACATAAATGTGTTCCTTAATGGACAAGAAAGTTGTCAAGCCAAAAAAAAAAAATTCAAAAAAAATTTCCAAACATGCAAAAAATGCCAGTTTCTTTACTTTCATTATTTTGACGAGCGACTGGTTTCACCATGCTGCCTTAGATATTCTTGGAATTGTAATTATCAGGATTTAGAAAAGCTCCTCACTGCTAACTGCATGTAAGCTAGGACAACTTACAGTTTTATTGGCTATTATTACACAATATTTTTGTACTTTTCAAAAAAGTTTTCCGACTTCAATTCACACAAGAGGACACAATCTACTCAAACAGTAGCATCATCAAGCATATCTTTAAGTGGGAGGAAATACTCACAAGAGCCCGTATCACTGCAATTTGCATAGCAACGAAGAAATACAGGAAGAAGATCAAATCAACAGGTCTCTTCCACAGAGGAGGAAACTGGAGGAAAAAAAAGGGAAAAAAAAAGCTAAATATTTCAAATACCGTTTCCATTTCAAAATAATTCACTGTACAATTTATATCAAGAACAAAGTTCAACAAATAACAGAAAGAAGACTAACAAAATTGAGAAGCATCTTTTAACCCTTCTGCATTAAAAAACTGATATTTCGTCAAAGCTTAAAAGACCAGTGTCTCTTTATTGATTTCTTCATCTTGGGTTATAAAAAAAAATATTTTTTTAAGCAAAATTGCTTACTGAAATACCTATCTTTACATCTATCTCAACCAAACTTAAAAGGAGAGTACAGCTGGAGTGCCTCTTTCCTTCATCCATGACAAACAGTGCAAAAGCAGCATTTGGGTAAAATTACTCCTTCCTAAATAATACATGATAGGAAATTGTCAAATGTCTACAGATTGGCCCAGTAAATAAAGATTCATTCAATGACTTGGAAAAATGCTACATAATAGTGTGTATGAATTGTTTTAAAATCTTGAAGCGGGAACACTCAAGTAGAGTACTCAAATTAAGTTGTAAAAGGTGCTAGTACCTAAAAGAAAACATTCCATAATTGCGGTTGTAATTTTGAATCACTTCCATTAACAGAGATGATTATACAAAAGTTGTGGAAATGCGTATCATCTTGTCAGTCATCAAGTGCTCAAGCATTTAGTCCCTGCTATTACTCACTCTGGAAGTTGTTTTTTTCCTTCACCCAGCGGAGGCTTTTAGCTAAAACAAAGATTTTGCATTTTTCATCATTTTTGTTTGTTGCTGCACTGTGGGTTTTTTTCCTTCCGTCTTTTTGTGCATTATTCAAATAATCTCAGTAATTCAAATTTAACACTGACTACAGAAAAATAAGGAAACAAAAATTTTTTACAAAGCCTAGCATTCAAAAAGTAGCATAAAATATATCTAAGACAAAAGTAGTATGCATGTTGACATATTATTTACTAAAATATCAGCTAAAATTGTGGATCTGCACTCCTCTACCCTTTCCCATACAAAAGAAGTCCAACCCCCCCCCCCCCCCCCCCACACACACACAGTTTGCTTCCATGCACTCTCCTTTTCTCTTTGTCGTTTGTGAAAACCATACTATAGTAATGTTTTTTAAAGTTTTAGTAGAGGTTTTACGGCGCTAGCAACTGCATATGGTCATGAGCGCCAGGAGATTTGATTAGAGGTGTTACAAGAGAGTAACAAACATAAAAAAGAAGAAGGGGAGATAAGGACGATAGATGTTTGATAGGAAAGAAGAACAAGCAAACCACACCAGAGCATCCGCCAACCACCCACTGTAATATTATGTTATCTGTTCATACTTATGCAAACTAGTATTGAGGGAAAGAAAGGAAAAGCAACCCTGTGACCCTGCACTTAGGATTCTAATACTTTGAGTACTCACTCCAAGTATTTCACAATAACCCAGACTCCGACACAAGTACAAAAAAATACTGGACTCGCACACCCCTACTTGAAGACAATAGGACTGTGGGTTTTACAATTGATTTTGAAACAAATTATTGTATTCTTTTTGTTCCAACTTAAAACTTTTAATTATATTTTAATCAAATCAATAGACTGAAAGGAGTGCTATTATTTGGGTTACATACAGCCTAAATAAGGTCACTCTAAAACAAAAGGATAAAATTGCATGGACAGCAAATTAAATACTGAGACAATCATAATGGCAATACTTACATTGAGACAGCACATATTTAATTAAGAACAAGGGTCTTTTTTTTAAAATAAAAAATGAAAAGTGTCATGATGGTAACATAAGAATAACCTGAAATTCAAAAAAATATTTACCTTAATAAAAGTGCGAGCCTGAATAGTGCGATTATGAATCATATTGATGAGAGCCAAAAGGGGGATAACACAGAAGGTAGAGTCGGCAAACAACGTCCACCCGATCTCATCTTTTCCTGCTGAAAAACAATTGCATCCACAATACGTGTAAGTTAATTTGATTTTCAAACATTTCAAACAAATAAAAACAATGATTATAGATCCAGAGTGATAAAAACTACTGTGCTTAAACGTAATCTTTCAGCCCCTCTAATAATAGGAACAGTGACAGCTAAAGAACCTTTTTATTTTTGGTTGGGTGTTTTATGGTGCTCGCAACTGAATAAGGTCATATGAGCCTGCCGGACACATATTAAACATTTTCAGTCGGTAAGAAATTTTGAATTTTGCCCAGGTGGCGGGTAAAGCCTACATTTATCGATTTTGGACCACCAAGGGATCTTTAACTTGCGCAACTTGCACACTGGACCTCTGAGATTATTCGCCCTTATCCGAGAAGGCTAGGTGTTCGATCTTATCAACCATAAGATCAGGGGTGTTGCTGAAAGATAGGAGCAGTAAGAAGGGAGTCAAGAAGTAGCAGTAGAAAGGGTTCAGAAAGAGTCAGGAAGGGGCAGAGGAGGTGGTGGGGTGGGGGCAGAAAGTGGAGACGAAAGCAGACAACAGAACATTGTTTTTGTCAGAGAGCAGGAAAGGATGTGAAATGAGAAGATTTTAGAGAACAAAATTTTCCGTCGCTATCCAGATTCAAGCCCGCGACCTACTGAATGAGAGGCGAACACATTAACCTCTAGACCACAAGAGCTCCTTCTCCATCTTTTGCTATAGGGAGACAATCTTTATGTCCTCTACTTATACTTATGTCCATAACCTCCAGTGCACTGTCTTTCTAACCTTTTCCAGTCTGAAGGAGCCATCTTCAGCAGTATTGTCTTAATGTATACATCTTTGCCTACTAGACCAAAGCTATTTCGACCTCTCTAAATTTCTCTATGTCTGAACCATTCACAGATAATTACTAGACATTCTATAAGACACAAGAAGCAACAAGCTCCACCTCTAAAAACATGAATCCAATATTTCAAGAAGTAGTGTTAGCCATGAAAATTTCTGAAAAATTTATTCAACATCTCCTTGGAATCAGCAGAAACTGCAAAATTAAAGAATTTACAGAATGCACCTAAATCAAGGGACAAACACCTGTGAAATAAGCAGGAAGCAGTACTGCATAGCCATTGAGGACAGACCCAGCCCAGTACAAGCCGACCTCTCTGTGAGTCTCTCTGAAAAAAAAAACCACACACAGGAGAGAAATTAACTGCATGAATGAACATGAACAACTGCTTGGAAAAGCTGCTAAGAGGCCCTGTATTTTGGGACAGATTCTTTATTTTAATAATAATACAAATCCTGAAGGTGATTCTTTACTTCGTTCAAATTATATTCATATTCTCAACACAATCATCTTTCCAAATGAAGTTTACAAATATTCACGCCTCTGAATTGAGTTCCCTTGTGTCTCAGGTCATGGGACTCTATAAACCACATTTGACCTACAATTTGTGTTCCAAATGAATTAAACTGACATTTCTTATCTCAGAGTATGCTGTATGTGGACCAAAAACAGCACAAATAAAATACTGACCGGTAAGTGTACAGGGCAATGCACCCTATTCCGAGTAGAAAGTTGACAACTCCATCCCAGTACAGGTACACTGCACCATGGGCCGTCTTTAGGAAAGGCAAATACTCCAATGTAAATGGAGCCAATGCCTTGGGAATAAAGCCATCTAGTTCAAGAACAATTCCAAGGTTAAGGAGACCTGCCCAACTGAAGATGCTGAAAACTGAAAGTAAAAGCAAACACCATAATGTGTAAATAACTTAACATGGATGGCATGGTAGTAAAACCAGCGTAAAACTCAGTAACTACATTCCCATAATATCATGACATGACATAGTTATTAGGTCTACAATTTAATCTTTAAAATCTCTTACTTTTTATAAAATAAATGGTATTTTTTTACTTTCCCTCCCGTCTCACACTCAGCTACCAGTTGTCTATTTTCTACTAAATATTGATGCGCTGAACACGAATATCAACTTCATTTCCGTCGCAAATTAATAGTTTTTGAAATATATTGATTGTTTTTAACCGAGATAGACATGCTTTGGACCAATCGGGGGGTTCCAGTGGG